GCCAGCCTTCTGGTTAGCAGCCAAATGCCTTACGCACTACGCCACCAGAGCTCCTGTGGTGGTTGTTAGCTGCCCTCAAATAAATCCCCAAGTCATGATGACCCCATATACAGTGCATTAAAATGCTTCCCAGTCCTGCACCAGGCCTATGATTTATTGAGGATCAGACCATTGTTATCCTCAGAGTTTTCATTGGCTAATTTTCAGAAGTAGATCACCAGGTGTTTCTTCCTAACTTGTCATAATTTAAAAGTTTTGCCAAAACGTGTTCAACATCCTAAGGAGCTCTGGTGGTATAGTGCCTAAGGCATTTGACTGCTAACAAGGAGGTTGGCAGTTCAAACCCACTAGCCACTCCACGGAAGGAAGACTGGGCAGTCTACTTCTGTAAAGATTTACCACCTCAGAAACCCAAAGGGGGTTGCTATAAGTTGGAATCAAATTGATGGCAGTGAGTTGTTTTTTTTTTTTTCGTTCAACATCATAGATATCTATCTGTAAGTACCTTCTGATGGATAGGTGGTGGCTGTGTGTAGGATTTATTGGTCGAAAATCTCCCACATGGCGGGTTGAGAGTTCTTCCACTGAATCACCAATTCCCCCATTGTGAGGGTTAGTTGAGTTAATTCATGTGAGATGCTCTGGCACATTGTAAGCATTCAAAAAATGTTAGTAATTATCTTTAAAAGTGAACATGGAGATAGGAATGTTGCATCAACTTGGAGGTGACATAAAGGTGTTAGTAGACTTTTCTACCATAAACCATAGCAAAAAGAGATGGATTATGATTACTTCATGTTTCTGAACATACTTATTCTTCTATAATTGTCAAATAAATAGCACATGAAAATTTTTCCTTGGAGACTTTTCTCTGTAAGAAACATGGAAGTATTAAACATAATGTTGAATACAATGTAATTATTACCAAGGAGAATGGTTCTGGTATTTTCAATTTCGGAAGAATCATAGGTTTTTGAGAATTGGTACTCTGTCAGACAATATTATAAGTAACAGCACAGGCTTTGCTGTCAGACTTATGTTTGAGTCTCTGCCATGCTTGGGCGAATCACTTACCCAGTTGTATCCTTTGTTTCTTATGCATATAATAGAGACAGTAATACTACATATCTTGTGGGATTAATATGAAGATAAATTGAGAAAGTGCATGTAAGGAATATAGCACCATATCTGAGAAAAAGTAAGCATTTATTAAATGATAGTGATTTAGTGAAAACTATTAATTACTTTCTAGGTGATTTGTTCTTTTTTACCAGAGTGTGAGGTTCCAGGCATGTTTTTAAAATGAGATTTTCTTATTTGTTTCAGTCGAAATCTTTTGTCAACACTGCCAAAATACCTGTTTGATCTCCCCCTTAAAGTTTTGGTTGTCAGTAATAATAAACTGGTATCCATTCCAGAAGAAATTGGGAAATTGAAAGATTTAATGGAATTGGTGAGTAAAATTGTTATATTAATTGTGTATAGTATGCATAATATATATCCTTACATTTTACATTTCCTTTTATGACAAAGATTATTCATTCCTGTATAGAATTTCATTTTAATTTTTTTAAAAAAGAATAACTCCATATATATGTCTAAGTTACTTTAATAAAATTTTGACATACCATTATGATGTTTGATTTTATCTTTTAGTCACAAATAAAACTTGGTTGTTCTTCAGTCCAAGTGAGGTCAGAAGGCTTGTTTACAAACTATAAGAAATAGTGTTTAAACTAATAAACATTTGTTTATCCATTTTGTAGACAGTAAAGATCTTAGAGAGAATATAAGGTTTTTTATTTTATTTTTTAAAGGTATTAAGGGTTACTGTGAGAGCCTCACATAAAGGAAGTGAAAAGAGAGTACAAGCCTGGGAAAAGGAATGAAGAAAATAACCCTTTCTTCTATATCCTTGTGTGATTTTATAACATGTTGAAACCAAGAAAAATGGAAAGAGACAGTTGATTGATTGGCAATTGATTGTTTAAGTAATTAACTTGAACATAACATTAGAGGTATTAAAGGACATTGAACCTGGAGAGAAGCATGATTGGATTCTCAAAACACTGAGCTACTTTCACAACTTTCAGTTAGCTACAGGTTACACAGTATACCACACGGTTTATTTTATTTTTCTGATTTATCTTGAGTAATACTTTCACAGTAAATGGGTATGGTATATTTTTAGCATTTTTATTGTTATAAAAATAAATACAATAAAACATACAGCAACTCAACAATTTCTACTTGTACAATTCAGTGACATTGATTGGATTCTTTAAGTTGTGCATCAATTTTCTCTATACTTTTCCAAATACTTCTACCACCATTAACATAAACTCAATGCCCATTAAGCAAAAACTCTTCCTTACCTCCTCCCTCCCACCTCTGGTAACCACTAATAATCTTTTTTTTTTTAATGTATTATTTCACTCACCAAGGTGTTTTCTAAGTTCATCCACGTTGTGCCATGCATCAGAAATGTGTTTCTCTTTATGGCTGAATAATATTCCCTTGTGTTTATTCACATTTTGTTTATCCACTCACGATGGGCATTTCAGTTGTTTCCACCTTTTAGCTATTGTGAAGAGTGCAATGAACATTGATGTACAGGTTTCTGTTTGCAGCCCTACTTTCACTTCTTCTAGGTATATAACTAGGATTGGGATGGCTGGGTCATATGGTAATTCTATGTTCAATATTTTGAGGAGCTACCAAATTGTTTTCCACAGTGCCTGTACCATTTTATATTCCTACCAGCAGTGTCTGGTAGCATAGTGCCTAAGGCACTTGACTGCTAACCAGAAGGCTGGCGGTTCAAACCCACCAGCCACTCCCGAGAAGGAAGATGGGGCAATCCACCTCTGTAGTGATACTGCCTTGGAAGCCCGAGGGGGCTTGCTATGAGTCGGGTCCGACTTGACGGCACATAACAACAAGAACAACACCAGCAGTGGAGGAGCATTCTAGTTTCTCCATAAACTCAGCAACATCTATTGTCCCCCACCCCATTATTATCATTCTAATAGGGGTGATAAAGAGGTCTGGTGGCCTACTGCATAAGGCATTTGCCTGCTAACCAGGTCAGTGATTCAAACCCACCAGCCGCTCCAAGGAAGGAAGATGGGGCAATCTGCTTCCATAAAGACTTACAGCCTCGGAAACCCATTGGGGGTTGCTGTGACTCAGAACTGACTCGATGGCAGTGAGTTTGAAGATTTAATAGGGATGAAGTGGTATCTCATTGTGGTTTTGATTTATATCTTATTAATGGTTAATTAGGAGCCCTGGTGGCACAGTGGTTAAGCACTTGACTGTTAACTGAAAAGGTTGGCTGTTTGAATCTACTAACTACTCTATGGGAGAAAGATGAGGCAGTCTGCTTCCTTAAAGATTTATCCTTGGAAACTTTATGGGGCAGTTCTACTGTGCCTTATAAGGTGCCTCTGAGTTGGAATCAACTCTGAGGCAGTGAGTTTGGAATGGCTAGTGACAGTGAGCATCTTTTCACGTGTTTGTTGGCCATTTGAATATCTTCCTTGGTGAAATATCAGTTTAAGCCCTTTGCCCATTTTTTGATTGGGTTATTTGTCTTTTTGTTGTAGAAGTTTTTTTAAAAAATATATGTTTTTTTTTTTTTTGGATATTAGACCCTATTGTATATATGGTTCCTGAAATATTTTCCTGGTCTTCAGCTTTTCTTTTCACTTTTTTGATAAAGTCTTTTGGTAAACAGAAGTCTATAATTTTTATGAGATTTCATTTATCTATGTTGTCTTTTACTGCTTAAAAGTATTCTTAAGAACCACTTTATTATGTCTTAAGAGCCAAAAGTTTGCCAAGGAACTTATGTACAGTTTTAAAGTAAGCACACGTGCACACAATACCATCGAGTCGGATCCAACTCATAGTGACTCCACGCCACTAGAGCTCCTAATATAAATTGAGGGACAGTTTGTGTGTGTGTGTGTGTGATTTGGGTGAAGATTTACAGAGTAAATTCACTTTTCATACAGCAGTTT